GCGATTTTGCAAAAAACCACTACAGAGAAGAACATGAAAGAAGAAACTGCAAAATCGGAGCAAAATGTATCTAAAGAGTAAGTAATTTTGTTCATTTTCTTTCGATGACAATTATAGTGCGATTTTATGTGTGAAACCTAATTTTTGTTCAATTTTTTGCAATTGTAGTATGATTTTGGAGAAAAATACTTCACAGACGAGTAATTTGTTGAAAATTTCTGAAGAAATGTATGAACCCTAACTTTTGTAAAACCTAATTTGTTCATATTCTTGCGATGAAAATTATAGAGCGAATTTATTTGTAAAACCTAATTTTTGTTAAAATTTTTTGCGATTGTAGTAATTGTTCTAAGATTTTACTGAAAATAACTAAAACATTAACAATTTATTAAATAAAACAGAGACGATGATGATGATGTACCTCTTCAGTCAAGAGTAGACAAATTGAAAAAAAACCGCCAAAATGATCCAATTGTAGATCCGGAACTTTTAAAAGATATTGACAAGTCAATTGGTACGGATTTAACAATGTCTCCACTACCAAGGTAATTAGTCATTTACAGAATATATTATGTTCATGTCTAATATGCTAGTTGTATTTGATAAAATTGGTTTTATCTTTGTTTAATATGTTATTTGTATATGATCATATTTGATACTCATAATGTTCATTTATAGATATAGTTATGATCATATATTTATATTTGTTCATATGAGTATTTATTGAGATTTAAAAACAAAAGTACATTTCATTGAAACATCATTGTATATGATCATATTTGATACTCATAATGTTCATTTATAGATATAATTATGATCATATATGTATATTTGTTCATTTGAGTAGTCATTGAGATTTAAATAACAAATATACATTTCATTAAATCATCATGCACATATATAAATATGATAATAATCATTTCAGTGATATGCATTCAAACTAATGTCATGTAATTAATTTATAATGTAGTGATGTGCCATTTAGAGTGATACACTTGCTTCAATTTAGAGATGGGAAATCTGAAACATTAACTCTAAAGAAGGTTATAGAACAAAATGAATATGGTATAAATGAATACATTAAATGATCAAAAGTATAAATGTTTTGTTCATTTTGTTTGCAGATTGTGAATGGATACATAAATGATAAATTCACCAACAACAGACCACCAAGTGAACATTTCATTACTAACTTTTTAGCAGTGGCTGTGAACTGCTTGATGAAATGTGTATCAAACAATCAATGCCATTTCAAATTTCTTTATTCTATGATGGACAAAGAAAACATAAAAAATTTGAACTGGTGTCAGTTTGTATATGACTCACTTATCAAATGTCATGTTGATTGGAGAAAGCAGCAAGGCAAGGGGTTCTACAAAGGCCCTCTTCAATTTCTGATGGTATATTCTTAGATACAAGATGTTTATTTAAATTTAAATAAATGCACTTTTTTTTATTGTTTATGTTCTGTTCCATGTTTTCTTTTTTCTTGTAGTTGTTCTATTTTGATAGAGTTCAGAGGTTAGACAAAAGGCCTCCAAGAACAATTCCTATCATATCTGCATGGAATAGAGACATGGTTCTTGAGAGGTTGAAGATTGAATTAGAATTGGGATTTGGGAGAGGGAAAATTCTACCAAGGATTGCTGCAGAAGTTGAAGAAAGTCCTAAGGTTATAAAATGATCACTTTTGTTAACATAAATGTTCATTTGTATAATCTGAAATGTTCAACTGCATAATTTTTAATATTCATTCATATAGGTTTTTATGGATGATTTTGTTTCCCTGGTAAAAACAACTTGTTCAAACCTGTCAAAGCTTTCTTCAAAATTGGTGAAGGCAAAGGATATCTTCCCTGGAAATGACTTGGTGAAAAAAGTTGATGAAGTTTTAGGAAAGGTGGTAGCTAGGGAACCATCAATTCTAAGCCAAGATGAAGAATTCTTTGGCAGTGAGGATTTCCTAAATGCACTTGCACAAGCTGAGAAGAATCTGATGCAAGGGTCTGAAAAGCAAACAACTGAGAAGCAAATGACTGGGAAGAAATTAACCAAAAAGGGAAAGGAAAAAGAACAAGAATATGACATCAGAAAAGCTTTCAGCTTGGGGTTGACTCCACCTTCTCCAGCCATTGGTAAATTCTAACTAAAAGAGACTATATATCCTAATTTTTATATGAAAAATTCTAAATTTGTGGTCTAAATTGTCCTAAACAGAAACAGGGCCCACCTTTTCAACACTTGGTGATATAATTGAACAACCAATAATTTCAACAAATGGTAATATGTTCATATATTTAATAATAATGTACATAAACTTAAGTAGAAATGTTCATTTCTAATTATTATGTGTAAATACTATTAACTTAGTGTATCTCCAAAATGATGATTTATAATACAGCTGGAGAAAAGGATGTGGGTAAAACTTCAGCAGCTTCAGAACAAAGAATTGAAGAATTTTCTAGAACTGGTATAATGTTCAATTAAAAAGTGTAAAATGTTCATTTACAAACAAGAAATATTCATTATTAATTGTATTATTTTGTTAGACGCAGCAACTGGTTCAAAATTTGATGCTGACACTAGGTCAGATAATGAAGGATTGCCTAGAACAGGTATAATGTTCAATTATAAATACTCAAATGTTCATTTACAAAGAAATTATATTATATCTAATTAAATTTTTTCTTAGATGCAGGATCTGGTTCAGTGGTTGATGCTGACCCTAGGTCAGATGGTGGTGAAAAAAGTGATGATCCAAAAAACACAGTTGGAGGTGGAAAACAAAACAAGGAAGATGTTTTTGAAAAAACAAAAAATGATGAAAAAGTGGAGGGGTAAAATCCTGAAGACATGTCTTACTATTAGGGTTATGTAATGGTGTAGGATAAAATATCTAGATGGAACGATTTAACTTATGTTACTATCGTGTTGTAACTTGAAACTGGTGTTTCTCAAACTATTGTATGTGTGAACATTATTTTGTTGAATATGTAATATGAATGTATGGTTTATGTTAAATCAATAGGTTTATGTTAAATCAATATCTTTCATTTTATGAATTGAAAATGATTCAGGGTGTTACATAAGAAGCTTTTATTTTATTAATATGTACTGACATTGTTTCACTTTTCAGTGAAAACAAGAAGATTGTTGCTTCATCCTCAAAAGTCACAAAAAGGTACATTATTTATATTAAGTAAATGTTCAAAAATAATAATGAACATTTTCATATACCTAAATGTACATTTGTGTTATGTAATATGACCAGGAATGATGATAAGAAAAAGTCAATTGCAGAAAAGAAGAAAAAAACTGAAAAGGAAAAGGTTGAAAGGTATAATTTCAAATTTATTTATATACACTCAAATGTTCATTTATGTTCCTCATAATTTTCTTAATTTAACAATATTTTATATTGAACAACAAGACCAAAACGCGAAAAGAAAACAATTCCTCCTGCTTTCCGATCTCCTTACTTGGTCAAGTACAAGGATCTGTTTAAAGATGAGAAAGCCATGAACCAAATTGCAGTAGACTTTGCTCTTGGTGGAAAAGATGAAAGGTAATTACTTACACTAATTAAACTTAAGGTTTAATATCTTTTATAAAAATATGTTCACATTCATATTATTAAATGTTCATAATGCAGTGCACTCTTATACTATGATGGCTTGAATCTCATCAATAGAAATGAAATGAAAACTCTTGGAGATGATGTTGAAGTGACAAATTGTGTCATAGATGGATGGGCAAGGTTTCTTAATCATAAAAAGCCGAGAAACAAGATTTATTTCTCAACAGTGCTTCATGTTAGTCTTTCTTCTTTTTTTATATTATTGATTCTATTTTCCTATGATAAATAATTGCTAAAAATTCATTTAACTTCTATATGTTTGTTTGTATTTCAACAGCACATTATGTGCACAAATAGAGTTTGTCAAGAAGGATCATCAATGAAGACAAGAATTAATGCCTTCATAGAAAGAATTGACAATGAACTGAAGTTGAATAAAATTGACAGCATTGTTGGATATAAACAGGTATTAATTCTTGTTTAATACAAATGTTCAATTACCTTCAATATATTGTCCAATAACATTATATAATTTGTTCAGGTCTTCTTCCCAGTATCAACTTCTCAACATTTTTTTCTGTTGTGCGTCAATCATATAGAAGACAAAATTCATATAATTGACAATAGAAAACTACCAAAAAAGGTATCAGTCCAAGCAAAATATGAAGAACAACCAAAAATGATGGTGAGATAATATGTTCATTTATAGTTGACTACATGATCAATTATATTTTATTAATTGTTCATGTCTTCATCACAATACAAACTTCTAAACAATTTTTACTCTTTTTTCTATCAGTTAAAAGGATTGGCAGAGTACATGAAACACCTTGGATATCAAGATGCAAAAAGAATTGAAGACTACACAGTTGTTTTGGAAAAGATGAAATGGCGTAGCAACAATGACTATACAAACTGTGGAGTTTACATTATGAAGCATATGGAAACCTTCACTGCTGATCCTAATGAGAGCTGGATTTGTGATTTAAAACCAAACAATGTAAGAGTTATAAATGATCAATTATTTAAGATATAATATTCATTTATGAAACAGTAAAGATTGTTTAATTAAAATTTGACAATTCATTTTGTTCAACAGGTGGAACAAATTAGAAATCTAAGGCTCCAATACACAGCAGAACTGATGTTATTTGAAGAAAACACTGAATCAAGAGCAAATAGAAGGAAAGCTAGAAAATTTGCAACTTTGTAGTTTCAAATGTTCATTTACAACTATGTATATGTTCATTTCTTATATATGACTATTTTTTTTTTTTTTTAGAAGTAGACTTATGGATTTTATTTTAATATTATTGTAATTGATATTTCATTTTAATCTTTGAATGAAAGTTTTTTATATAATAGATCGAAAATTCAAAATTACAAAATAGTAATTAAATCAACATTACAAAAAAGTCTAATGTTTATAAAGTTCTGGAATACTAATTATTTATCTTTATTAGCCAAACGTTTAGCTACACTTGTATCAAAAAAGGCTAACAACTTATCATATTTAGAAGAAATCTTTTTAGAACCTAATTGAACATTTCTTGATTGAAGAATTGGAACACGAGCACCTTGATCATTTCTTTGAACTGTGGGAGGAGTAACTTGAACATTCTGAACAGGAAATCCTTGATCATTTATTTGAACCGTAGGAGAAATAACTTGAACATTTGTTGATTGAACATTCCTGGAGTTGGATATGATCATTTCTGGATTGGTGTTTGAACAATTCTGAGTTTGATTTTGAACATTCCTGGGAACAGTAGGTTGAATAACAACAGGAGATTTTGTTGACGCACTAGTATGAATTGGAACTCTTGGATTAATTTGAGAGTAAGTTTTAACACCAGAAGCACCTTTATTTGCACCAAAATTAGAACAAGGTTGAACAGCAGAAACACCTTCAAGATTTAAATCCTTCGCCTTTAAAAAAAATTAAATTGATCATTAATAAACCAGTATATGATCAGTTACAAACACTTATACAAACAAATATGGAAAAAAAAAACCTTAGCAATAGATGAAATATCAACATCAATAGATATGATAGATGAAAGAGAGCTTTCACCAGTAGCCTACAAAAAAACCAAAAAAAAATATAAAAAATAAAAAATTAAATAAAAAAAAAATTATAATATAGATCATAAATGTTCATATACCTGATCAAAATCATTGGAAATACTATGATTTGATTCCTTAGAACTAGAAGGAATTTCTTCTACAACAGCTGATTTTAAGCCGACCTATATTTTTAAATTATAAAAATCAATATTAATAAAATATAAATAAAATGTTTTTTTTGGCACATTTGAATTTACCTGAGCCCGTTTATTGCTCAAAACAATCAATTCAATGGGATCACTAATAGAATTAGCATAAGTAACAGCACAACCGTTCTCATCAAGTTCCTATTTAAAAAAAAAAACATAAATGATCATTTACGAAAACTGAAATGATCAATTTGAAAATATGAAATGATCATATACCTGTACAACTGCTTGCCCTATACCCCTTTTGTAAGGAGTGTACAGAGACTTTTTCCTCTTGAAATTACCCTTTGCCTTGTTACACTGCTTCTCCAAGGTACTCTTAGGCCTTACATTCCTCTCACCTTTAGGCCTAGCTTTTGGAGGATTCTTGATCTCAAGATCAACAATTTCAACCTCTTTAACAGGTTCACTAAAGTCAATTACACCTGATACACTCTCAACCTTTTCTTTTAACAGATTGAAATAACACTCAACCTCTGCCCTTGCATTCAAAGAATTCTGACAACTTGTTATCAACTTAACAAACTTTCTGATTGTTTGTGACCTCCAAACACTAGTAGCCACAACATTTGTCCTCAAAGTAGGTTCTTCAATACCATGACTACACATGGAAGCCTTTGTCCATCGTTTCATTATATACTCTTGTGGAATATTACGCACACAATGCAAATGATATACTCGAAGAGAATGAGAACAAAGTAAACCAGTCTCACTAAAGTACATGCATGTGCAACAAATTGCATGTGTTTCCTTATTAAAAACAACTTCATGCTTAATTATATCCTTCCCAGGCCTCCAAAGAAGATATGAATATTCTGGAAAACGCAAACCATTATCAACATGATCATAAGCTGTCCCCCTAATGAACTCCTCTTCAAAAAGAACATAAGCTTGAATAGTGTACAATGATCTTGCATGATCTAATATACCAATATTAGCAAAAGCTAGGTGCCTATTACCCCTCAGAGTATTGTAATCTCTTGCACCTTCCTTACTTCTCCACTCAGAAATGACATCAAGAAAAACATGATAAAAATCACATAAACCTTGAGTCTTATTAAGACGTTGTGAAACTGACTTATTAGTAGTTTCACTACGTTGAGAAGACAATATACCACCAGACCAATACTTCTTAGAATAAGCAGGACACCACATTTCCTTTATTTTATACAAATCACATAACCAATCATCATTTTCACATTTGTATTTATCACACATCCTGTATAACAGAAATGATCATATATTAATTTAAAAATGAACAAAATATAAATTAAAATATGTACATTTGTGTAAAGAATAATGATCATAAACAATATGGACACTAATAATATTATGATAACATACATAACAAAGTAAATTGTATGATCATATGTAAAACACTAAATGTTCATATATATATCACATAATAATCAAATATATCACATAATAAAAATAAAAAATAAATACAAAAAACAATAATTTACCTTTTCCAGAAATATTCAAATTCAGCAGGAGTTTCACAATACTTCAAAAGATATCCAAACAAATCTGTAAAGCCTTCCAAAGCTCTCAATGCTCCAATGTGTTTCTTAGAATTTTGTTCAAGATGCCATACACATAAACGATGATGAACAGTTGAAGGAAAAATGTTTCTTATACCCGCTGCAATCAAAGTAGTAAATTCAAAAATCGAAAGTGAATAATAATACATCAATTAAGTTCAAATTAACAGAGCATTATAACAGAACAAATTAGGGATAATTAAAAATTGAAAAATTATGATCACAATTACTCACATTGTTGCACAAACGAATCAACGAAACGAAGTCCAGAAGGAAACACACGCTCGCAATCGCGATCAAAATCAACGCAATCTCCAGATGCAGAATTCGCCATTGATGATCGGTAACAATTAACGAATTCGTTCAAAAAATCAAATGAAGAAGATGAATTAGCGAGAGAAAAATGTAGATCAAAAATGGAGGTTGGTTGATCAATTGAAGAGAGAGAAAAAATAGGGTTTAAAATCATATATATACATAAATTGAATAATAAGAATCAAAGGAAAAAGGAAAAAAGAGGAAGAAAAGAAAAAAAGAAAAAAAGGAAAAAAAAAAAAAAAAAAAAAAGGAAAGAATCGCAAAAGGGAACTCAATACCAGCTACAAAACGACGTAGCATAGGGGGGGTGTAGGGAACACACCCTACACTAGGGTGTAGGGTAAAATTTTCAGTATCTAATTACTCTAATAAAGTAATAAGGGTTTTAAACTTTTACTCCTAACATATCTCTGTTCTCATATGCATTTTTGACGCTATTCACGCACTCATTTGATTGCATTTTGTAATTTGTATAGGGGTATACATCATAGTTATTTGAGGTTGTAGATATTATATTTTAAAAGAGTAAAATAGAATTAATAACGTTATAGATATTTTACGTAGACACATAACACTTCAAAATCTTATACTCCATACGATATTATGATGTACTTCGTATATAATATACTTACTATTAAGCTCGAGATCACCTATGCAGAGATCCCAAACCCATACCCACCACTAATCATCCATTCCATTCCGCGCCAGCAAGGTTTCTTGGGAAACAACCCCCTTAAACTCTTTCAAACTCAACTTTGACGGTTCACTAAAAAACAACTCAGCAGCAACATGTGTCATCATTAGAGACAGCACCGGTTCCCTTATCACAGCTCACACCTTCAACCTTAGCATTTGTTGCAGAAGCTCCAGCTCTCCAAAAAGGCATCCTTCTCGCTCTTCAACACGGGATTTAACATTTATTCACTGAAGCGGATAATCTCCTAGTAATCAACGCAGTCAAAGGAGTTTGGTCCATTCCATGGCAAATCGATCACATCATCGCCAACATCCTCAATCTTCTTCAAAGGTTTCAGTAATGGGATATTAACCATATTTACAGACAAGAAAAAAAGCATCAGTTTCTCATCTTTGTACTCTATTATCTCCTCTGATACATTAGAAATTTTCCTCGTGAGGAGGGATTCCTAATGTTTTCTTTTTTCTTACCTTTTTAAAAAGATATACTATATACTTACGATTATTTTTTTTTTTAACATTTTTCTTGTCAATAATGGCAACCCTTTTTTAAGTTTTGACTTGAGACTCGATTATGTCTTCACTCTTTCATCATTGACCTTTCCTTTATTGTTTTTGGGAGTTTGCTCTTTAATTGTCTCCAAAGGCTTAATTGGTTGACTAATAACCAAATTCGGATTTAAATATGAAATTAGTACTATACACCCGGGTGCACCATGCACATGGTGCACCTGGGTGAAATTGTTGCTGCGTGACATGCGTGATCTGTTTTTAAAAAAAAAACATGTGTTTCCGTAATTTAAGGGATTGTGAAGAACATTCCATATTATTTGTTTCCAAAATTACTCCATCTACATTCTTCCATTATTTTCAAATATTTTAGAGAGAGAAAATTAGAGAGAAGTTTAGAGAGAGAAATTATCAGCGATTTACAGAGAATTTCAGAGCAATTTTCTCAATTTTAATGGCGTATCAATCAGAATTTCGACATGATTCTGATGCTAGATTTGTTGATGATAACTATGGTGATGATATTGATGATGATAATGGAGGTGAATTTGAAGATATCGTAAACAGAGACGAAGGTAATTTTTGTTGAATTTTTGTTTTGATTATTTATTTGTGGATATATGAATTGTGAAATTATTAAAAATTAGGTTGAATTTGATTTTAGATTTAGATGATTGATTGTTCAATTGATTGTAATTTTTTTTTAATATAGGTTTTTTTTTTGTAAATATATATAATTGCTGGACGTTGAAGATGAAGTTCTTTTTATATTTGGACATGTTCTTTATTTTATTGATTTGTTATGTTCATAGTGTATATGTTCTTTTTATGATACATGTTCTTTTTCATATGATTTATGTTCTTTTTGTGAGACATGTTTTTTTTTTCATGTTCTTTTCATGATACATGTTCTTTTTTTATGATACATGTTCTTTTTCATATGAGTTGTGTTCTTTTTTATGATACATGTTCTTTTTTTTAATATTCATGTTCTTTTTATGATACATGTTCTTTTTTTTCATGTTCTTTACATGATACATGTTCTTTTCATGATACATGTTCTTTTTTTATGATACATGTTCTTTTTATGATACATGTTCTTTTTCATATGAGTTATGTTCTTTTTTATGATACATGTTCTTTTTTTTAATATTCATGTTCTTTTTTTTTTGGTGATATAATTGCTGGACGTTGAATATGAGGTTCTTTTTATATTTTGTCATGTTCTTTATTTTATTTATTTGTTCATGTTCACAGTGTATATGTTTTTTTATGATACATGTTCTTTTTCATATGAGTTATGTTCTTTTTATGATACATGTTTTTTTTTTCATGTTCTTTTCATAATACATGTTCTTTTTTTATGATACATGTTCTTTTTCATATGAGTTATGTTCTTTTTATGATATATGTTATTTTTTTAATATTCATGTTCTTTTGTATGCAGATGTTCTTTTTATATGAGTTATGTTCTTTTTTTAATATTCATGTTCTTTTTATTATTTTAGGCTTTACTGAGGCAAAGAAATCTAAACTTTATCTCAAAAAAGTCAAGTCTGATGATGAGGCATATGAGTTGTACAATAATTATGCATTTAAACATGGATTTGGTACACGTAAGGCGAAAAAGAATTTTAGAGAAGATAAGGCTACTATTCGCCAACGATTTTGTGTTTGTTCTTATGCTGGTTTTAAGAAAGAAAGAAAGCCAGGTGATGAACCAAAAGTGTATCAGAAGAGAAACTTTCGCACAGGATGCAAAGCAATGATTCAATTTGATGTTGAATTAGATTCTGGTTTGTTTGTTGTTGTCAAACATCTCATGGATCATAATCATAGTAGAGTTCCAGTTTCAAAAAGACATTTGATTAGGTCTCATAGGAAGGTATGATCTTTTTATGATACATGTTCTTTAATATTTTAGGATGTTCTTTATTATATATAAGTATGCTCTTTGTGAAAACATTATGTTCATTAATGTTCTTTTTCGTATAATGTAATGTTCTTTATGCATTTTCAGTGTGTTCTTTTTAATAATTTTATTGTTCTTTTTCAGTAACAGTGATGTTCAATTTATTTTCATAATTGTTCTTTTTAGTTTGCATCATGTTTATTAATGTTTATATTGATACTGATGTTCTTTTCTGAAATATTGATGTTAACATGTTCTTTTTTTCTTAACTATTTATAGATCAGTCAAGAACAGTTTGGTATGCTTAATAGTTTAACTGAGAATGGTATACGTGTTGCTGATGCTGTTCGAGTTTTAAAAAATCAAGCTGGTGGTGAGAAAAATTTGGGATTTCTTTGCAGCGATGCTTATGATGCTTTAGCTTCAGAGAAGAGGAAAAAGTTTGATGGTTGTGATACTAAGCAACTACTCAGTTATTTTAAAGAACGCAAATCAAATGAGTATGACTTCTACTATGATTTTGATGTTGATGATAAAGGTCATTTACAATCTTTCTTCTTTCGAGACAATAGGATGAAGGTTGATTATGATGCTTTTGGGGATTTATTGGTTCATGATACAACATATCGTACAAATAAATATGCTATGATTTGTGGTCCATTTGTTGGTATGAATCATCACAATAAAAATGTTATGTTTGACATTGGATTTTTGATTAATGAGAAGTGGGAGTCATTTGTGTGGTTGTTCACTACCTTTTTGAAATCGATGGGTGGTAAACATCCCGTTACAATCATGACTGATCAGGCCCAAGCTATGGCCAAGGCTATTAGAATTGTCTTCCCAAATTCTCGGCATCGATTATGTACTTGGCATATCAAAGAGAATTCAAAGAAAAATATCAAAGGACTGAGGGCAAAAGAAGGGTTTAATGAATTGTTTGACATAGTCCTAAAATACACAGATACTATTCAGGAGTTTGAGCACTATTGGTCTAGGTAATATTCTTTTGATGTTATGATTTTATTTTGATTTTATGATTTATATTTTCACATGTTCTTTTTTGTATAATGTAATGTTCATTATGCATTTATAGTATGTTCTTTTTAATAATTTTAATGTTCTTTTTCAGAAATAGTGATGTTCATTATATTTTCACAATTGATCCTGATGTTCTTTTTCAGAAATATTGATGTTCACATGCTCTTTTTTGTATAATGTAATGTACAATGTACTGTTTAATATGTTTTTTTTTGGCAATTACTGTTGTTCATTATATCTTTACAGTATGTTCTTTTTAGTAAGAATTATGTTCATTAATGTTTTTCCAAATTTCAGCATGCTTACAAAATATGATTGCAAGAATAATAGTTGGATCAACAACTTGTATAACATCACTGCATACTGTAAGGACTATTTTAGTGGTGGTATTTTATCTTCTCAGAGAAGTGAAACTACAAACAGGTCTGTTTCTCGTAGACTTCATATCACTCATGGGCTTTGTGAGTTTTACAATTCTTTCATTGAGGTTGTTGATGAATGGAGGACTAAAGAAAGCAGAAATGATTATGACAGCATGACTGGCAATCGTCATTTAGTGTGGGCAGATGTTGGTTTGTTAGAGCATGCTCGAAACATTTACACAATTCAAGTGTATATACAATTTGAGGATAATTTTGTGAGTGGTGTTCCTTGCACAGCAAAGATAATAGGAATTCAACATCCTCTTTATGAGTATCATGTTGGGCGTCCAAAGAGGGATTTGATCATGCACACTGTTTCTTTTGATGAATCATTGGTTTCAGTTGATTGTACATGCAAATATTTTAGTGAGGTTGGACTACTATGTAAGCATTCATTGCGTGTTCTTCATTTGAACAACATCACCTACATCCCAAAGAGGTATATTATGAAGAGATGGACAAAGGCTGCAATGTGTACTCGGGTTGATGATAATGTTGTAGCTGAATCGGGAGTTACACCTTCAAATGTGTGGAGATTACATATTATTAGGACTTTTATAAGGCTTGCTGATCGTGCACAAATTGATTTAAAGTCGCGAACTGTCATTGAGGAAGCTATTGATGAGTACACCAACAAAATTGATATTCTTCTAAGGAAAGATGAAAGTGAAAATCAAGAGTCTTCAAATACTGATTGTAGGTCAACTGTAACACAAGATCAAGGAGATGGTAATTTGTTGGAACCACAAGGAGTAAATGAAGAATGTGTTCCTCAAACTGAAGATGTGAATGGTAAACAAAAAGCTGTAGTTCAAGTAGAAATTAAAGATCCTATCAAGAGAAGAAAGAATGGGCAAAGAAACACTAGACCTAAGAGTACACAAGAAAAGATAACCAACAAGCTAAAGGGTCAAAAAATCAAGTCATGGAAAAGGAAAACAACAAGAGGTGTTTCAAAATTGAAACAAAAAGCTCAAACTACGATTAAGGTACAGATTTGAGAACTCACAATACCATGTTCTTTTTACTTTACTTTATGTTCTTTTATATATATGTTCTTTTTACTTTACTTTATGTTCTTTTATATATATGTTCTTTTTACTTTATTTTATGTTCTTTTATATATATGTTCTTTTTACTTTACTTTATGTTCTTTTTTACAAAATTAAAAGTTTATATGTTCATTTCACATTAATATATGTTCTTTTTAAATATATGTTCTTTTTACCTTACTTTATGTTCTTTTTTACAAAATTAAAAGTTTATATGTTCATTTCAAATTAATATATGTTCTTTTTAAATATATGTTCTTTTTACCTTACTTTATGTTCTTTTTCACAAAATTAAAAGTTTATATGTTTATTTCACATTAATATATGTTCTTTTTATATATATGTTCTTTTTACCTTACTCTATGTTCTTTTTTACAAAATTAAAAGTTTATATTTTCATTTCACATTAATATATGTTCTTTTAATATATATGTTCTTTACATATCTTAACTTTCTTTTTCCATTAATATATATACTGCTTAACTTATTTTTTTTTATTTTTTTTTTTCATTTGTTGTGTTATAGGAATTTATGGTTGTACCAAAAGGAAACATATTGGCACATTCAAATGAGTTTGGAGGATCATTAGAGTATTTTGAACCTGATGAGTATTTTGGAGTTCATGTACTTCCTTTTGAACCTTGTCATTAGTAAGAAAATTTAGATTTAATGTTAGTTTTACTTTTTTTTTATATATATATTTTGTAGTAGATTCAGCATATTAAAGGTTTTTTGAACTTATATGATTTCTTATATAGCATATTATGCACACTTGTATTCATTTCAAATCAAATAAACAATAGTCATTCATTAAAAAGAACATGTCATTGATTAAAAAGAACTTGTTCTTTAGTCAAAAGAACATATCATAAATTGTAAAAGAACATTACTTATATAATAGGAATATGTTTTTTGCAAAAAAAAGAACCAAGTCATATAAATACATATAAATAATTGAAAAAATAATAAACTGCTGCTATTACGTTAATGTTTCAACATCCAAATAAACCTGAAATTTTAAATGTTCCCTAATTCTTTGAAATGTTTTTTGGCACGAGCACACATTTCTGGTTTCTTCATGTTGAGATCAGTGGTGATAAGCTCATATGTGTACCTCAATCTTAGCTTCTTCAATGCATCAAACTGTAAAAAGTGAATGAATAAATTACAACTCAATCAATAAAAACAAAGCACAAATTCATTTATAGATAGACAAATCTTACATTATTAGCTTTGAGACCACAAGTCCATTTTTTCTTCCCAAAATATGTTTCCATGTGTCTCATTGCATACACACCACAATCAATATTGTTTTTCTCAGTCCTCCATGGCATTTGAACTAACTTCACAGGGTAATTGGACATGTTCTCCCCTATTTTAATATCTTTGCTTTGCAAGTATAACCCAAGAGCATCTCTCTGTTAAAAAAGATTATAAGTTATTATCATAAAGAACATAAAAAAAAACATAACGGTTGACTAAAAAGAACATACGACACTGAATTCTTACTAATTTTTCAGGATAGTCAAAATATTTATTCTCCATTGGGATTCCATCTGCAAGTGGTCTGTTGTCAAGTATATCTATTGTCTTTGTCCTAGTGCTGATGACAACAACATAGAAATGTACAGATACGTACATAGGGAAGAAGAACTGAAACATTTAAAAAGAACATGTCATCGAAGAAAAAGAACATAAGTATTAAATAAAGAACATGTTATTGTCTACAAAAGAACATAACTAGTAAATAAAGAACATGTTATTTATAAACAAAAAGAACAAACTACAACAAATTAAAATGAACATAAGTGGTAAATAAAGAACATGTTACCTAAAAGAAATAACATACTATAGCTTATGAAGAAAAAAAATTCAACTTACCAATTGATATCCATCTGAAGAAAAAGAACATTCATGGTACAATAAAGAACATTTCACTAAAAAGAACATCCATAATATATAAAAGATCATGCACACTGAAAAAGAACGTTCATGATACATAAAAAGAACATCCAGAATATATAAAAGAACATGTGATTAAAAAGAACATGTTCTTTAGTCAAAAGAACATAAGTATTAAATAAAAAACATGTCATTGACTACAAAAGAACATAACTAGTAAATAAAGAACATGTTATTTATAAACAAAAAGAACAAGCTACAACAAACTAAAATGAACATAAGTGGTAAATAAAGAACATGTTACTTAAAAAAATAGCATACTATAGCATATGAATAAAAAAATTTCAACTTACCAATTGATATCCTTCTGCAGATTCTATTTTGTTACTTTCATTGAGCCAAAAATGCATAGTCTCAAAAAATTTGTCAATCCTATATCCAGGTGTTGGTGATTGACTATCATCAGCATATGACTCATTCATGCATAGTTGATTCTTTAAAAAAAAAATCATGTAAAAAATATTTGAACACAATAATTAAAATAAAGGAATAAAAAGAACATATTTCACTAAAAAGAACATATCTCACTAAAAGAACATCAGGAATTATGTTACTCACAAAGGCATTGTTTGCAAAGAAAATCCTTTTTTTTTTATCATCAACAGAATTCCTTGAATTGAGGATTAATGCCCAAGCATCAATAATATCAGTGTATAAATACACATTGTCCCCCAAGTGTTCTGAACATTTCTCTTGTCAAATTTGTATGCCCATCATCATACATCCATTCACTAGGAAAACAATATGAAATTGTATAAGTTAAATATAAACAAGAGAAAATGATAGTATATACTGCTCTTTAATATGTACCAAACTTACTCGTCATCAAGTTCTGGGGCATATGCATACTCTAATATAGCATGCTCAAACTCTTCTGTTCCTTCTATCATATGAGAATATTTTACAAGGTAAGGTGACTTGTAAATATATGCCTCCTTTCTAACCCTTTTGGCAGCTTTAGGGGATCCACTATAAAATAAATAAATAAATAAATAAATTGCAAACTATCATAAGTTAAAGAACATTCATATATATTAACAAAAAAAAAGAACATTTAATATTTTTTATACAAAAAAAAAACATTTAATATAAATTATAAAGAACATTTGCCACAATCAAAATGAACATGCTTACTGAAAAGTTTAATAATACTATTAAAAAGATCATCCCACTTAAAAGTTTATTTATAACATGCATACTGAAAAAAACATTCATGATACATATCTAAAGAACATTTATAACATTGAAAAAGAACAACAACTAAAAAGAACATTCATAATACATAAAAAGAACATTTCACTAAAAAGAACATCCATAGTATATAAAAGAACATGCACACTGAAAAAGAACATTCATGATACATAAAAAGAACATTTCACTAAAAAAATCATCTATAATATATAAAAGAATATGCAAACTACAGAAGAACATTCATGAAACATAAAAAGAACATGCACACTGAAAAAGAACATTTCATAATACATAAAAGTTCATCATACAACAAAAATATTTACCAATCTTCAACCAGAGTTTCTTTTCCTTTTTTCAAATTCTTCTCAGTTATCTCCATTGACTCAATTTTCTTCTTCTCTTTTTCTTCATCTTTTTCCAGAATTTGTGTTTCAACCCTTTCTTTTGCAATTGTTTTCTCTGCCTTTTCTTCCCTTTGTTCATTTTGTCCTTCTTCCATGCTTTTGTCATTCACCCTTATAACACTCAAAAAGAATATAAGAACATATATAAAGTAAATAAAAGAACATACAATACATACTCAAATAAAAAACATAATTTAATAGATAAAAGAACATAATTAATAAAAAAAAAAAAGAACATGCTTATAAATAAAAGAACATGAATGTACTTTCACAAGAGTCAAAGAACAAACAATACCAAACAAAAAGAACATGCATATAAATAAAAGAACATGAATGTTCTTTCAAAAGTGAAAAGAACATACAAAAGTTAAATAAAAAACATATTCTTTCAAGAGTCAAAGAACAAACAATACCAAACTAAAGAACATTTTTATTAAACAAAAACAACATATAAAGTCAAACTAAATAACATATTCTTTAAATAGTCAAAGAACAAACAATATCAAACTAAAGAACATATTTATTAAACAAAAAGAACATACTTATAAATAAAGGAACATGAATGTTCTTTCACAAGTGAAAAGAACATACAAAAGTCAAATAAAGAACATAAACCTGTTCATCATAATAATATTACACATTAATAATTCAAATAATACATTTCTGAATAAACAAATTGCATAATTAAAAGTCAGTATTTGAGTCAATTAGTTACCCCATCGTTTGATTACTCATGACTTGGTCCATTGCATTGGACTCCAATTGTTGCTCGGTGAAGTGTGAATCATATTGAGAAATGTCATCAAAAGCCTGATCACCTATATTGATTGTACTTGACATGCTTAACCCAAGTGTAATCCTTAGGTCACATGATGATTCAGGCAATGTGGTGGTTGGAGTAATGACATTAAATACAATTGGTTCAAGTGTGGATGATTGAGTTATCTCCTCCTGAACTCCAGTATCTTCAACACTCATATTGTCACCAAATTCCTTGGTGTTTTCCTCAAAACCAGCCATCTTGATAACATTATCTACCATTTCACCAAACCAGTCAGAGGCAAAGAAATCAGTGTCCTGACTAAGAATAGAAGTCCCTTCTTCTCGCTGTGTAGGTATATTTTTCTGATTTTCTTGGGACAATTTGATTCCAGAACATTTTGCCCACATTGTACTCACATTTAATAATGTGGTGTCTACATCAAGTGTGTTACCATGGAACCTCTCCCCTAATTTTAAAACATTTGAGAGGTTCACAAACCCTTCAACAATTCTCTCTGTTGCCTGACGAAGCAATAGAGTATATTTCTAAACGATGAAGAAGTATATCATGCATACATTAGCAGAAGAATATATTGAATATATTCAACAAAGTATAGAACATGCGATGAAAAAGAAAAGTTTATATTGTACCTGCAAATTTGTAGGTTGATGTTGATGTTGTTGTTGCTCTTGATGCTCATGTTGTTGCTGTTGTTGTTCATGTTGTTGCTCTTCTTGTGGTTGTTGCTGCTGCTGTGGTTTTTGTTGTTGTTATTGTTCCTGCTGCTGTTGTTGTTGTTGCTGCTTCTGTTGTTGTTGTTGTTGCTGTTGCTGTTGCTGTTGTTGATGTCCTTCAACATCTTCAATGGCTAAGACTTGGCTAATTTCTGGGGCTTTGATTCTATCCAAAACTGTGTCAATCCCAAAGCCATTTGTTACCTCAAGATTAACCCTTTCCTTGATCATATCACCATTCCACTCTTTGACAAGAGGAATTTATCTTGGAAAGCTTGATGTACCCCGTTTAAGGCGGTCAAAGTAGCAAATCTACATAATTAAAGAATGAAACAAATGATAATCTATAAATACATTCATAATAATTAAAAAGAACATCAAATTAAAAAGAACATCCACAATTTATAAAAAGAACATCCAAATATATAAAAAGACATCCATAATGAAAGTTAAATAGAACATCAATCTAAAAAAGAACATCCATAATGAGAGTTAAAAAGAACATCAAACTAAAAACGATCATCCAAAATATATATAAAGGACATCCGTAATGAAAGTTAAAAAGAACATTAAACTAAAAAAGAACATCTAGAATGTGAGTTAAAAAGAACATCCATAATGAGAACATCTATAATGAGAGTTAAAAAGAACATCCATAACGAGAGTTAAAAAGAACATTAAACTAAAAAAGAACATCCAGAATTTATAAAAAGAACATTCAGAATATATAAAAAGAACATCCAGAATGATAGTTAAAAAGAACATCAAACTAAAAAAGAACATCTAAAATATATAAAAAGAACATTTAAAATATAACTTAAAAAGATCATCAAACTAAAAAGAACATCAAGAAAATATAAAAAGGAACATCCAACATTTATTAAAAGAACATCTAGTACATAAATAATGAAATAAATGATAAACTACAAACTTATTATAAATAATAAAAAGTACATATGAAAGTACAAAAAAGTACATATGTACATTAAGAATATTTACCGTAACAAATGGCAATGGTCCAGGAAAGAATCTTTTTCTATCTCCCTTCCAGTAAATAGTCATCTCCTTCAAGCTCTCTACTGTATAGGAAGACCAGTCAAATTTTGATATTTTGTTGGTGTCAGCTGCTGTGTACATGAACCTATCATAAAAAAGCAACAACTAATAAGATAAAGAACATGATTGTATAAAAAGAACACAAACTTTATAGAAAAAGAACATAAACATTAGAGAAAAAGAACACTAACATTAGAGAAAAGAACACTATATTTTTACCTATAAAAAGGCTGTGTGTTAGACACAGACTTGATGCAGGAATTCACTACAATAAGTAAGAAACTCCTCTTCCAATTATCATCAAGGGGAGTGTCTGGATTACCTAACTTTCCAGCTAAAACTGTTAAGTTTGGAATACTCCCATCACTATATGCTTTCACTTCTTTCATCACCTCAAGTAAAACTCCATCCTCAAGGGCAGCATCTTTTATCTCTTCACCTCCAATTGGTAAACCATATACCAGGTGGGCATCAATGGGTTGTATATCAATTTTCTTATTTTTATCACATAAGAAATAGAGACCATCAACTTCCAAGTTCTCCACAAGTGTGGCTGAATACTTAGGGGTGCCCTTTGGCATATCAAGATGCAAGAAACCGCCAAACCCCATATTTTCAATGGCTTGCAACTTGTCCTCCTGTTTTGTGCTCTGCAAAGTTTTTACCAAATTTTGTAAAGGCTTAACAGTGTGCCTTTGCTTCAACTCTAAATCCTTTATTTGTACTATAGCCACTTTTTGTTCATCTTCCTTATCATCCTTTGTTTTCATTCTCTTGTTTTTTGGTTTTGGCACACTTACTATTGTAGATTCAGCCTTTGATTGTGAAATTGATTGTGAAACACCAACTTCATGTTTCTCCATATCTGGGAACATAAGCTCTCCCAATGGTGCCCTCCTTTTCCTTAATACAATTTTTCTTCCACCACCTTCCTCCACTATACCTTCTTCTACAACTTTATCAGTAGCTGGTTTCCTAGTTGGTTTAGCTGGTGCAGTCTTCCTGATATTTTTTATACAAAAAAATAAAACATTTAATATAAATTATAAAGAACATTTACCACAATCAAAATGAACATGCTTACTGAAAAGTTTAATAATACTATTAAAAAGATCATCCCACTTAAAAGTTTATTTATAACATGCACACTGAAAAAAACATTCATGATACATATCTAAAGAACAACAACTAAAAAGAACATCCATAATACATAAAAAGAACATTTCACTAAAAAGAACATCCATAATATATAAAAGAACATGCACACTGAAAAAGAACATTCTTGATACATAAAAAGAACATTTCACTAAAAAAATCATCTATGATATGTAAAAGAACATGCAAACTAAAAAAGAACATTCATGAAACATAAAAAGAACATGCACACTGAAAAAGAGCATTTTATAATACATAAAAAGAACATTTCACTAAAAAGATCATTCATAATATATAAAAGAACATACAAACTACAAAAGAACATTCATGAAACATAAAAAGAACATGCACACTGAAAAAGAACATCAAGACTTTTTCTTGGTAGCAATTTGTTTGAAACGATAATCTTTCTTCTTTTTTCCTTTGCCTTTCAATTCTTGGGGTTGTGAAGGATCTTCAGTCTTGACTTCTTTTGGTTCTTCTTCTTCATCCCTTCATTTATTTTTTCAAATTATGTATTAATTTAAATAATAAAAGAACAAGAACATACCCAAATCTTAAAAAGAACATTATTGACATTATGTTAACCAAAAAGAACATCAAAATATATAAAATTTTAGTGACCCTACCAACCAGATCTACAATTTATAATAAAGTTTAAATGCCATTGAATTCTTCAATAATCAAAAAAGGACCAGAACAACATGAATATTCTAGATAATGATACTTTAACTTACTTGGGAATATCCTGTACCATAGTTTCTATGGATCTTAGGATTTGGGGGTCCACAATTGGTTCCATATCATCATGTTTCTTTTTACTAACATTTCCTTTTACATTAAACAATTCACAAAGAGGTAGAGATTCCTCATCTTGTTCTTGTAATTTACTGTAAAATAATTACAAAACAACAACATGAAACCAACTGAAAATTCAATAATTTCAAAACCAATATAAAAATCGAAAAATTGACAAGTTAAAAAATAACCTTTCTTGGTTTTCCTCCATTTGTTGTTCTTCTTTCTCCTCCAATTGTTGTTCTTCTTTCTCCTCCAATTGTTCTTTTGGAACATCTTGTACTTCTTTGCTTTAATCATTTAAAAAAAAAACCCAAAATGAACAAAATTAAACATTTTAAACACCAAATTATTGACGAAAAACTGATTGCATGTACAAAATTATTACTTACACTTCACTAGAATCCACCATTTGTTCAAATTTGAAAGTTTAATTGTTGAAATTAGAACAATTAATCCTAGATTTTCACTTTGAATATGACGGTTTTACGGTTTTAATTTGAAAAATAGAAAAAAGATAGAGAGAAAAGATCTAGAGAGAGAGAGAGAGAGAGAGAAAATATCTAGAGAGAGAAAAGATTACTTGTGAAATGATTTTTACTCACAATAATACCAAAAAAGGTGGGCCATGTGTCAATTATTTTCCGAAAAAAAAGTAACCCACCTTTCCATTTCTCGCGTTCTTTTTAACCAACTCTTTATGTTCTTTTATTAACCCATGTTCTTTACAATCCTTCTTAATGTTCTTTCCGCCTTTTTAACTTCGCTAGGGGTCTGCGTTTTATGTTTTAGCGTATGTCGTTTTGATCGGGTGCACTATGCGCATGGTGCACCCGGGTGCACCAACCAATAATTATTTAAATATATACTTGGACAGGAAGTTATTATGAATACAATTAGGCAAAATATGTCATATTAAGTCGTGTTATGTCAAATTTAAATATATACTTTTACCAATTTCATATACAAACAAAATAAACAATATTTTTGACATAGTCAAACATTCAATTAGTCAGCTCACATTAGCATTATCAACTAGTCTGATCTAATTAATTTTGGTGGCCAAAATACTAATACATCAACATGACAACCTCAGATAAAATCACATAAATTACATAAGACTAGTACATTACTACGAGTACTAATAATACTAGTTGTCTAAGATAACCAACATTCAACTACAAGTCCAAATTAAATAACGTCATTAACTACAAGTACAAACTTCCTTTATTCCATAACAATGATAACATTGTCTTTTACTGATATTATACACGGATCAACTAAGCTTAACTAGAAACTAGTAAAGCCTAATTATAACTTAGCTAGTAATTTGATCATCTCATCAATTGTCGTAAGCTATGTTAGCTTCCTTCCGGGAGTTAAAAAAGAGGGCGGCAACCGGCTGTCCGAGGTCATTATGGGCAGCGAAATGGCGGGTGTTGAAATTGCCACGGGCGTATTCCGGTGGAAGCGGCCTAGGCTTCACTAGAGGCCCCTTCTGTTTGTACAAAGCAAACACATAACGATGCTTCCCTGTCGATGGTTGCGGGCCCATGTACTCAACCAACGTTCTTCCTACAAACGAACCAATTAAACACATCAACACAACACAAAATATCGAACACTTTATGCTCTATATATTATGTACTATATATTGTATACGTACATTTATATCCTTTATATGCGATACATCATATGTATGTCAGTATGTATGTCGATCATAGAACCAACAATAATTTATATTATACGTAGTAATAGATGAAAACATACCTTTAGAAGCATCCATTCCTTGAGGAATATCCACAACAATCCTACAAAAAATTTAAGTGACATTAATGATCAAATTTACATATGCCTCCAAATTAAGTTTTGCAAAAACTTCTATTCATCAAAACAATTAAACTTCCTAGGCGCAATCATTTACTCATCCTAATTTGATTTGGCGCATATATTCTTTCAGAAAGAAATTTAATTAACAAATTATTTTACGCTAATCGATAAATTTATATGAAGAAATAAAAGATAATAATATGAAAAATAATCGTAGAAAAGTTAACTCACCAATGAAGCCATTCCCTTAAGGTTGGATGAGTAGGATTAGGAGCATCCGGATCAACCATTATCTGATATAATTAATAAAAAGTAAAAAAAAAAATTGATCAGCGAAATTAAATTGATCATACTTGTATTAAACATACAATACTTTTCCTTCAAAAAAAAAAAACATACAATAATCATAAAATAAAAATGATAAAAGATTGATAAGATAATAAGAAATTAAATAATTAACAAGTTGATTAAAGTACACTTACTAGAGTATAAAGATCATCAAGACGAGGGTTATGAGACGTGACTTGAAGACGAGGCCTATTTTTGGCTTCTAAAGGCTTGATTTCGCACCCGTTAGAGACTGTTTCGGACCCGTATTGAACCGTTAGCTCAGCTTCCGGAGTAAACGGCTCGAGAACATCTCCGATCACTTTTCCGGCTACTAGGATCTCCGGTGCTTCAGCCATGTCTTTTACTAAATATTGCTAGGTATGTATGATGTTGGGGTTATTAGATATGTACTATATATGTATGTTACAAAACTTTAGGTTTTTGATTATTTTTATTTGACGGGTAACACGTTAGAGTCTTATAGAATATAGTAGTAATCAAATGGGTGACATTTGGATTTCTGAAATGTTCTAGATAAATGCCTTGTATGAGTTGTATCATTTTTTTTAACTTTTATTTGAGGTTCTTTCGGATTTGTGGCTAGCAAGTTTGCCACTTTTCATTTTTACCATTTTTCAACTTCAAAAGTAATGCTATAATTAAGATAATTTGAGCTCAATAAAACACAAATAAGAGTATTAATAAAATTATTACTATATTTTACTATATATGTATACATTAGAACACATGTACAAAGTATGAAGAACTTCAAGATCTTTGTTTGAACTTACTTACAGATCACAGATGTCTTTCTGAAAGGATATTTTATGAAAATAGTTGGTTAATATAAGATTTGTCTTCCATTGTAATGTACTTGTAAGTTGTAACATTTGTTTATGATAAAGCCTGCCATTTTAGTCTTTAGAGATCCAACGCAATATCAAATGGGCTTCTATTATAAAATTGGCCCAACCTATAATACCAAGCCCTTTAATAGGTGTGCAGATAGCCCTATTGCATAGTTTCTCTAAATTGAAAGGGCCCAAATTGTTATAACCTAATTTGAGTAACTTCATTGTCTTTGTTTATTTACTAAATTTACTATGGAATTTTTTTTATTTTATTCGGGATAAGAATGTTGTTGTCCATAATTTAGCCCGTATTTTGCCATATGGTATAGAATAAATTTGGGAAAACTATTGTCCTTGTACAGTTTCTCTTATGTTTTGATGGACAAATTCTTAATATAAGGCACCCTTTACGTGGTTTCAAAAAAAAAAAGGAATTTTTTTATTTTTAAGTTAATTCATTAATATAAATAGAATATAGCTAGAGTTGATTCTAACTTCGTAGCAGAGACATGTTTCCTTTGTAATCTTCTTCTAGAGTTTCATTGTTCCATGTGTAAGGCTACCCTTGCTGGTTTATTTTGCCAATGTGTTTAACATTTACTTATCTAGTTATCTTTCAATCCCGTTCAATTTAGAGGACAAAACATATAGAAGTAGATGTACATTTCATTATATGAGATAATAAAAGATGCATCACCAACGACATTATGTTATAGGATAGGATTACATGGTATCATCACTGACACTATAGAACTTCCGTGGTACAATATAATGTATATTCACACATCATAATAAACCACACTATTACTAGCATAATGCATTAAGCTTTGGACACACTACACAGCCACACAGGGTCACATAGGAAAAACAAGTAAATGAGAAACAATAACCTATCTCATTTAGGTAGTAACCCCGCCCCATCAACACGTACAACATAACCAACTTCGAATCAACGTTTTTTATTTGCAGCCTCTTTCTGAGAGTTGAAGTAGACGGCAGCAACCGGTAAACCAAGTCCGTTTTGTGCAGCAAAATTCCGAGTGCTGAAGTTGCTACGGGCTTGTGGCAGTTGCCACTGCTTCGCGATTGGTCCTTTCTGTCTAAACAATACAAACACGTATCGGTGTATTCTGGTGGGCGGTTTTGGTCCCATGTACTCTACCAGCTCTTTTCCTGCATGCACATTCCATACCTTGTATTTTTCAATGTGTTGGTCCATAAATTATTTACTTCCTCCGTTTTAATAATTAATATTGTGACATGGACTTTTGTACTATTTATTAATTTTGTCTGACCATAATTTAATTGTTACGTTAATTAAGTAAAATATAATTATGTGGATTTTGTTAGATTCGTCTCACAATATCAACTTTTAATAATTTTTACTCATGTGTAATTATAGATATTTTACATATAATATATTCTTTGAGATACGTAATTTCATCCTTATTGCATGCAATATTATATTTTTGGAATGGAGGAAGCTAAGTGTTATGGAGTATCAAATAATTTCTTGTCTTCACTCTTTGTTGTTGTTTGTTGTATATACTACGATTCTAAGACGGATTGATGAGTATTGTCTTATTAATTTCCAGTTTGATAAAATTATTTACAACTACAAGTCATAGTTATCAGAACAAAAAGATTGAATAAAATGACGTAGGTGAATACAACATCTCTAGATAAGTTCTGAATGTAGTATTATCAATAAATACTTTTGCTTGAGAATTTATAAGCCTGAATTCGAATTAGCCCAAAGGGTGAACTAAAAGGAAAAAAAATAATTTAATTTCGAAATAGTGTTTGTATGCATACGATTATTACTAGTGGATTACAACTAGTTTATTTAGTTAAATTAATATTAGCTAGGATGGTGTCAAACGCGGGTCTGGGCCGCACCCGCAAACTAAGAGAGAGAGTCCACTCACAAGTCCAAGGACGTTCCATCCAAAATCATATGACAATAAGAGGAGTAGCCCCTTAGCCATATAAAGTGTTTAACTCTCTCTTCTTCAACCAATGTGGGACACTTACATGTGGTGACTCTTGAGAGTTTTATTCTTCAACACTCCCCCTCACATGTAAGGTCCCTTAGCTTTTAACTTTGTCTCATGTGATTTTTCGGGCTAGAGTGCTTCTTCACTCCCCCTCACACGGACCTACTCTTGGCCAGTGAACTTTAGCCATTAAGGTCCCATATCGTGGGTCTGGCTCTGATACCATGTCAAACGCGAGTTTAGCCGCACCCACAAACTAAGAGAGAGAGTCCACTTCACAGGTCCAAGAAGGTTCCATCCCAAAACCATATGACAATAGGAGGAGTAGCCCCTTAGCCATATAAAGTGTTTAACTACTATCTCTTCTTCAATAACCAACGTGGGACACTTCTTGCATACAAAAAGCAAGAAGGATGGTATATTTGTTATAAACCAATATTTTATTAGTAAAGTAAAAGCTAAACTCAAAACTTGAACAAGAAATTATTCATCTTAAAGAAGAAAAAATAATGTCCCTATACTTGACCCAAAATGGCACCAAATGACATATGTAAAGTCTATATATATGTACAACTTATATAAAAAGTTGTTCATTTTTTTTATTATTAAAATATAAGTTGATATGTTAAAGTCTACAAATTTATGTGCCAATTTTTTCCATTATAGAAATTGATCAAAAGAGAGTATGCTATTTATGAAAATGAGTGTGGAGTGTGGAATAAGGGCAAATACAAGTTTATCTGTCAGATAAACAAATTAAACAAATTAATCTGATGGCACTTTTTGTAAATATATTAAAAAAGTGTGATTATTTATTCAGTACTTTTGGCAAGTTGTTCAATCACTGATTGCAACTTGCTTTTACTGTTTGGTGAGGAAATTACACATGTACCTCTCAACTAGTACATGAAAAGACGCATGTACCCCTCCACTGTTACTTAAAAAGACGATTTATTTGTTTATCAGGGGAATCAATTGGGTACAGCTCATGGAATAATACTTTTTTTTTTATGGAATAATACAATATATACCTTCTGTAGTTAAATATGAGAAATACTCCGCATAAAGTAGTATAGCGAAAATGAAATTGAAGGAGGACTAACCTTTGGAAGCATCCATTCCTTGAGGAATATCAACAATAATCCTGATGAATCAGTCAAAACAACCTCGATTTATTATTTTTATCAATTAATTATTAGTAGAAATAAAGAAATCAATCTCTTATCAAAGTTCTCCGTCAATAACACACTACAAAAGTGCATAAATAAACATGCATGTGTTATGTGTCTAACCAATGAAGCCATTCTTTCATTTTGGGCTCACTAGGACTTGGAGCATCCGGATCAATCATGATCTACAAGAAAACAAATTCATATCAATATTAAATGTGCACATTAATATTGCACAAAGTTCATTACTCGGTATAATGTAAAGTACGACCCAATATGATATACGAATAATTATTGTATATCGGATATATATATTCAATTTTATACATATTATAAGAGAAGAAATCAATAGTTCGAAACCATGCATGCAACAATTTAATATGCTACATTTTAAAAAAAAATAATAAAATCAAACACTGATAGAGAATATTCTCATCTTAGGTTTAGGACAACAAAAATAAAAGTTATATGGATGAAATATACGTACTATGGTATAAAAATTATCTGTTGAAGGGTGACCCGAAATTTGAGCAAGAGGCCTTTCAAAGGCAAGTGAAGGTTTGATTTCGCAACCATTGAAAATGTGTTTTGTACCGTATTGAACTCGAAAATCGACCATTGGAACAAACATATCAAGCACATCACCAATTACTCTTCCTACAACCAAAGGATCGACTGTACGTCTAACCATTGTTGTCATTTCAAGCTAAAAATTATGAACTCTTTTTTTTTTTTTTGGTTTACCTAAAATTGTAAGTTACCAGATATTTTTAGACATGGTGATAGCATATAAGTAGTATATATAATATGTTATATCACTATATGTATACATGTCGCTGAGTGGACTTTGCTAAGTGGCTTCAAATGAGTGACACGTAGCAGTGGAGCTAAGTGGGTGACACGTAGTAAACTGAGTTCTACTGAAAGTTGAGTTGGACACGTGTGGGATATCCGAGGATGTTCTGTCTCTTTAAACTGTATCATAGTAACAGTGCGCACCTGCCGTCTTTATGATGTAACGCAAATTATATGCATCAGGTCGTTATTACTTATTATTATGAATAATAAACTCGTATAAAATATTTATAGTGCTTGTTTGGTACAAGTACTTTGGAAGTCTGGATATCAGAGTGCATCAGGCCACATAGTCACATACTTCTTATGTATTGGAAACACATAGGAGAGTATGTATAAGGATAATCTAACATTATAAAGATATTGTATAGCACAAATTTTCATGCGTATGAACAACCATTATGAAGGTCACTTTTTTATTGATATAACTCAGTCAGGGGTTATGATTAGAGGTTACTCGGTTAGGAGTTAACATGGGTTACTCACTCAGTCAGGGGTTACTCAGTCGAACAGGGGTTACTTGGTCAAGGGTTACTTAGTCGGCTAGAGGTTAATCGGTCGGTTCTGAGTTACTCGATCAAAAATTACTTTTCCGTCAAGAATTAGTTGATGTGTGTCAACTGGTCATACGGTGTGATGATTATATAGTACAAATATATGCCATATAGAGATGGTGGAATCATATTTTAAATAATGTGTTTTGATACAGAAAAATTGAGCCATTTCCTAAAATATTCAACTCTAAT